TACTCGTTGAATCTGTACTTAAAGGAAAATTATATTAATATATAATAATCCTTTAAGTACTCGTTGAATCTGTACTCATCTTTTTCTAAATGTGTACCTTTTTCTCTAACGTGATCTTACTTTCATTTAAACTGTAAGTGTGATATTTAATCATTAATGTAAATTTGCTCATTTTTGTGTCAATACTGTAACACAAAAATGTTCAAAGTGAATTCTCATGTCGAAAATTAAATCTAATTATAAATTAAAACTTACCTTCAGCAGAGGGAATATTGCATGGATCACTATTGTTATAAATAAAGTCATAGTTAATGTTCACCAAACACATTAATAAAAGTTCTAAAAACCACGAGTACCCCGAACAAAGTCAACAACTTAACTGCATACATCTACACGAACATCACACACTGAAGACTGCTTATCGTCTACATCGCAGATAAAAAGCGTCCTTTAAATACCCTCTAATATCTTCAAATTTCGTGTTGTGTCAATGCAAAACAATATTATTAAGAAATAGAGAAAAGAAATCGTCACATAATACAAGGGCTAATAAAAAAGTTTCACTTGAAAAACTTTAGTGAAAGGATGAAACACTAACACTAAATTTATTTTCACATAAAAAAAGTTAAGAAACTGTTAACATTATTTATTCAATCAAATAGTCAATAAAAAAATATGTAACAACTAGATTCGTTTTCTCTTTTATTTTTCGAAAAACTATTACGTACCAATTAGATCCGCCACAATTCAGTTTAATTGCACATTAAACGAATTAATAACAATTTTATTACAAAGTAATTAAACATGAAAATTAGTGGTGATACTGAGGAGTTTTTGCTACAAAAATACACATCAATTTCAACCAATAAAAACTTGTAAAAGTGTAATCGATATGTCATCTTTAACAGCCCAGTTAAATAATATTAGACCAGAGCACTTCTTATTTTGGTCTAGTATTTTAAACATATTTAAATAAATACTCAATTTTTGATTCTGCAATGCCTAACCCGCCATCCCCACAAATATTTTATAACACAAATGTTAAAGAAAAATAAATAAAACAGTTTAAATATGCTGACTTGTTTAATATTTATACCCTTAATGCATATATTATGTACATCAGTTAAAGTATGAATTATAATAAATCTACCTTTAAACACCACATTAATTATTATAATCACAGGATTGAATACAACGTTAAAATGTCCTAATACAATATATAATATAATATGTGTACCACCATATTTATAGGCTTTAAAAAAGCGAGAAAATAAAATTAATCAGCTTAAAAAAATATTTGCTTCAAACCCCATGCAAAAGATACATAATCTGCTTTTCATTACATATTTCTACTAAATAAAAATATCATTTTTTTCCATTATGCAAAATAAAATGAATGAACAGCAGATTTTAAAAATAATTTATATATCCTTTCAGATGATGCATTTTTATTCCATAATATTACCTAGCATAATGATATCGGTGTCCATTTATCTATAATTCCCCTCTCAGTGATTACTGAAATGAAGTAAATAATTAATTATAACCAAGTACTCAATTTACTTATTTATTGTTCTTATCATGTTTTTATATTAAAAAGCAAATGATGTTTAT